CGATATAACTGTTGGTTTCAGTGTTATGTTTGGCAGAACCGATGAATCGGTCGCTGGTTTTTTTGGTCGGTCTCTCACTTCTCACACACACATCGAGTCTCGCATTCACTGTGTGTTTGTGTTGTGTGTGTTATGTGTGTTGTGTTTGAGTGCGATCTCAGAGCCACTGCTATAATACTCTCCCCAACCAAACACACCATTCACTCCTGGGCTCAGGCATTGTCTCCCTCTCGCACTCACTCTCCCATTCACTCACACACTCTCTCCCCCTCTCACACACACTCTCTCACACACTCTCTCACTAAACGTGTGACACTCGCTATTGTATTCGCAATATTTTCGTAGTGTTATGCAATACTGACTGTAAGCGATAAACAGCACTACTGAGCAGTGGTGTGAGTAGCCAGACATATGAGCGATAAACAGATTCAATGCACTGTCAATGCTAGCGCATAACACCACGAAAATATTGCGAATACAATAGCAATGGACGCATCAATCCATACACACATTCAACACCAAAACCTATGGGCTCTCTAAGCATGTGATGAGTGGTAGAGGGGCTGTCACTGGGGGACCACTTGTGCCCACTATTTCGCACGTAATTCACGCGCTATTTCTCTATAAACATAGCGTTGAAAAGCGCTTCCCATTCATAAGTGACGTTCACNTATACATATTATACACATTTATATCGCATGTATTATATCTATATTTCTATCATATTTATAAATTGTATCGATATTTGCGTTCATATATGCGGTATAGACTGAACACAACTGTATTTCACTGGTATATACTGTGTGTATGTCTGACATGTATTGTATGGTAATGTATTGAATAGTATGCACATATGTACAGTACAATCCCACCATAACTAACTCCTTCTACAGCCAATTAGATAACAAACGATTTAAACAATTTGATTGATTCGCTATACATATAACGCTAATAAACTGCCCTGGTAAAAATTCCTCGATAACGAACGGGTTTATTATATTTTTCTCAAACTTTTTGTTACAATTCGCTTTTCAATTTATTTGTATCGAAAATATTTTATTCTGAAATACACAGAATAAACATGATATGCTGAAATGTTGCATATTTATAGTGGAATATATTTATAGTAAATTACATAACATATCAAATAGTTATTAATTAAAGAATATGGACATTTTATAGCTCAATGAACCAACTCTCTCTCCATAACGAACGGTTTTACAGTGCACTTGTCGTTCATTACGGAGGGATTGCACTGTACTTTACATATCATATATAAAATATTTCATATAATATATAAATCAAATCGATATATCATTATATAATGCAATAATCATAAGATTTGTTAATTAACTTACACTACGATATCATTAATGCTTACATTAATAAAAAACGGGACGCCTTTTAAAGCGAGAGAGACTCGGAGAGAGAGCACAACTCAATACTAGAGAGAGTATTGAGAGAGAGAATTACTCAATTATAATCTCTCTTTTTTCTCTCTCTATTAGAGATTTCATATTAATAGTAGTTTTCGTTTTGTAGTTAAGATATATTCACAATATTATTACAATTATTATAACTACTATTATATAATATATTATTACTATTAATATTATTATATAATAATTCAATCATAACTTTTAGCAAATAATAAAACATTAACACAAATGTTAATCACATATCACTGTTATGTACACTAAAAATGATTATAAGATATTTATATCTCTGTATACACTAATCAATTGCAAATATATATACTGTATATTAAAATTGAATCGAGGTGAATTAATCGATTAATCAATTATTATAGCGAATACGAGTTACAACAACTACGAGACTGTGTGGACACTAAATTAAATATAACAATCATAAACAAGTCGGTCAATTCAATTCAATATACAAATTATAAAACACTATATTATATATAGAAATATATATATTATTCAATAACAAACGATTAGTTATTATTAATTAATAGTAATAATAATAATACAAATAATGAATGGATTGTATGAATCAGCTGTAAATTGCAATCCATGTATTGAATTGAGTGCTAATAATGTTGTAATTGACAGACAGTTGTGTTTCAGACAGTCATATGAGAGCACATTGTGTTTCACTCAATAACTTATTATTATTATTACATAACCATTGGTTGGGATCAGCGGTGGCAGCGATGGTGTGGCCGCTGGTGTGCCGACCACTCGGCTCTCTCTCGCTGTGCTGTTGTGTCGGCCGTCGGTCGCCGTGTAGTTGTGCGGACACACACGCGGCGCGCGAGTGGTGTGTGTTTATAGTGATTGCGATATAACTGTTGGTTTCTGTGTTTTGTCAGAACCGATGAATCGGTCGCTGTTTTGGTCGGTCTCTCACTTCTCTCACACACACATCGAGTCTCGCATTCACTGTGTGTTTGTGTTGTGTGTGTTGTGTTTGAGTGCGATCTCAGAGCCACTGCTATATCATACTCTCCCCAACCAAACACACCATTCACTCCTGGGCTCAGGCATTGTCTCCCTCTCGCACTCACTCTCCCATTCACTCACACACTCTCTCACACACTCTCTCACTAAACGTGTGACACTCGCTAGCAATGGACGCATCAATCCATACACACATTCAACACCAAAACCTATGGGCTCTTTAAGCGTGTGATGAGTGGTAGAGGGGCTGTCACTGGGGGACCACTTGTGCCCACTATTTCGCACGTAATTCACGCGCTATTTCTCTATAAACATAGCGTTGAAAAGCGCTTCCCATTCATAAGTGACGTTCACTTATTGTGTGCCATAATATGGGGTTTATAGCGTTGTTTCGCTGGTGTGTTAAACGCATAGCAACAAAAAAGTTTCGCTCACATATGATGTGACGCTTTTTTTAATATTGTGGTTGCGTTGGTTTCTGTATGCGATATGCATTGCGAAATTGAACATTTTTATATTTTACCATTATACTTTTACACTCTCTCACCTACTGTACTGTATAGCATACAACTCTTACACAGAATATACCATTCAATTTGCATTGTATTCTCTATAAAGTACTTCTAGTACTGTATTGTACGGCACAGACCGTGAAATCATCCACACATTTATAGCATAGGGAGGGAAAGATTTTTATATATGACTTACCATTCATTTTTATAAAACCATCGCCTAATTCATTATCTATTCGTATAGTTTTGTTGCCACCACTTCCTCCCCAAATTCAATGAACACCTCTCTCTCTCTCTCTCTCTCTCTCTCTCTCTCTCNGCATTCACTGTGTGTTTGTGTTGTGTGTGTTGTGTTTGAGTGCGATCTCAGAGCCACTGCTATATCATACTCTCCCCAACCAAACACACCATTCACTCCTGGGCTCAGGCATTGTCTCTCTCTCTCTCTCTCTCCCCGCACTCACTCATACACATCCCTATCACTTGTTATTCAAATATATGCTTTAAACTGTTGGCCATATTATTCTAATGCATTCAATTGTAACCCTCAATAGAATTCACAGTTGTATACGTGAGGGCACAGGTAGTTATCCTCTGACACTCCATCCCTTTTTTCTTTCTTATTTGCCGTCAGTTTAAGGCACTTAAGCGCTGTCGGGAAGGGTTGTCGCCACTTATGAGCGCACAATATGTGCTTTTTATGCCAATTAATGTCTATTTTAATGTGGATTTTGTGCATAATTTATACATTTGAACGGCACGTATGGCATGAGATATAACATAATTGCCAGCGAATACTGGGAGCCGCCGCTTATAACTCAGTGGTATCCCTATTGACACCGGTATCTGAACTCAACTTCAATTGCTTTTGCCATTCACTGGGAATTGCTTTTTCTTATTCTCCACCTATTCTTATGGCCATAAATAGATTTCAAGGCATAATTCTTGTAATGAATTCAACACAAACTTCTCAATGAATCCGACAAAAGAGTTAAGAAAACAATGTTCGGGTCGTTTACGAGAGAGAGAGAGAGAGAGAGAGAGAGAGAGAGACCATCTGTCCATTAATTATATTGAATGCTATTATTATGTAAATAGAGTTATGTTTTTCTTTCAGTCATAAATTAAAGCCTATATTCAGTGGTGAAGGGGTTGTGAAATACATAAGAATTTCAATTTTACGATTGAAATGATAGAAAAGTTTTACTTATTTTGCATAAAAAATTCCTCAAAATTATTGTCTTAAAAGTGATAAATCAATACACATTTTAAACGTTTTATTCCTCAATTGAAAGTAATTTATAGTATTTTATGCAATCATTTCCATCACTCATAAAATATTAAAATATCCTAGATAGTTATTTTGTTGCCAAAAATACCATAAACGTTTGTTCTGTATATCAATGTGTCTGACAATTAAATTGACCATAATGAACACAATATGGGATTTTCATGCTAATGCTATGGCTGTACTTTAGCACGATTCTTAATGTTATTCTATGGGACCCATAGTATGGGTAGTGTTAATCTAATGGAAATAATATTCAGTTTCTATAGATAGTGACAATGCATACAAAGAATCGGTTTACTATTTAAACCGGTAACAACTATTTAAAAAAAATCTAAATTCAAAACTATATCAATATAATTGTGATTAAATTATCATCTTGCTTTTAATGTACTGTACATTGTTTTAACCAAACAAAACTTCTACATCTAGAAACTAACCATTATTTCATATAATAATGCATCTAGGTTCAATAATCTAAATGTGTTGTTTTAGTATCGTATGAGTCATGTGTTATAAAACTTTAAATATGTATTAAATGGTCTCTAAAACTATGAATACAGTCATAAATGAGCGCAAAATTAAGTGACAATCAATTGAACCGATTGTGAGACTAATAACTATAGCCACCAATAGATGGCATTCAGAGCACAGATTGTATTGCAATCAACGCAATGCTATTTCGAGGCATTTAAGCGCCAAATGTAACCCTTGTTTGCGAATCAAATCACAATCTGTTAAATCTGTTTATGTAATCAACACATCATCACAACAACACATCCAATACTCTGACCAATCATTGTCTCAATCACTACCACAACAAGAGGAAGACAATGACTGTGGAACCGCTGACCATCGATGGCTTTCAAGTGTTATTCCCATTCAAACCATACGATATTCAAGTGGAGTACATGAAGAGTGTTATCCAATGTCTTCAACAGGTCTGTGTCCACACGATTACCACACATATGTCTTAACCATTATCTTAGCCGTAATAATGGTCTGCGGATTAGGTTCAGGGATTAGCCGCTGATTAACCCGTTATTGGATTAAGTCTTGCAGATTATTATGCAATAGTTGTGATGCAATGCAATAGTCGGGGCAAAGGGTTGGGTTCGGGAGGACTGTTAACCCGTGGATCCGTTGACAGTTGATTGTAATGATTGTCTATTATATGTATTTTACACAGAAATCTAATGGTCTTCTGGAGAGCCCGACGGGAACGGGAAAAACGCTATGCATTTTGTGCGCAACACTCGGATGGCTGGACAAGAAACGGATGGACACATTCAGACGGGTGGCGGCCGCGAAGACGGGCACCGAAATGAATGGCAAACAGTTGACAGCGTCCGCCACGAA